GTGAGGACTTTGGACGAAGTCCAGAAACAATATCATTGTCATCACTCGGGGAGGCTACGAGCACCTGGTGAGTAGAGCCACCACCCACCAAGCACTGGCAGCCCCTACAACAAAGAATTACCCGGCCCAGGATGTCGCCAGTACCAAGGTTGGGAGACCCTGCCACACACCCCCTCTGTCTTGGCAGCTACCGTGACCTGGTCATCTCCCCATAGTGGACTCTGAGCCCTGATGCTGGGACTCAGCACCCAACACTGACTAAATGAGTAAAGGAATGAGTGAGAAGCCCGAGACGGTTGCGAGGTGCAGGCGTGTCAGAGCCAGGCTGAATTCAGTGTCTACGCGAGTGTGACAGAAACCACACAAGTTCAGGGACTGAGTTAAGGCTTTCATTGGGGTCATTTATCATCAGCTTATGAACTATGTGGAAATGTTTTCTTTTCTTTTCTTTTTTTTTTTTTTGACACAGAGTTTCACTATGTTGCCCTCAGTAGACGTCCATAGCTCACAGCAATCTCAAACTCTTGGCTTAAGCCATTCTCTTGCCTCAGCCTCCCACATAGCTGAGACTATAGGCACCTGCCACAACACCCAGCTGTTTTTATTTTTTGTTGTTGTTGTCATTGTTGTTTAGCAGGCCTGGGCTCAAACCCACCAGCCCCAGTGTATGTGGTGGGCGCCCTAACCACTGAGCTACGGGCACTGAGCCTGTGGAAATGTTTTCATGTCGAATCTTTGCAATTGGTCCCCCAAAAGCCATAAGAAAAAAATAAAAGGTCAAACTCCAATTTCACCTTTTGGTTTTGTTTGACAAATGCAACGCTAAAGAATTGTATTCTCCTTAACAATGTTCTGCCTCAGTAGTAGAATGAGAATTTTAAGGTTATGATGGCAAAATCCAGCGGTTGCTCATAACTGGTGTTTACACTGTGTGGCTGGGCATCTCAGCCTGTCAGGAGACAGAACGTTACTTGTCAAAGGTGTTGTCATACACTTGGAATGGTAACTCAGAGCTACTAGAGTGGGAGGTAAATTGTCACATGTAGGTTTTTTAGCATTAAATTCAAGTAGATACACCATAGAGGAAATAGGAATTATTCAAAGTAAATATCTCTTTTCTGACGCTTTGATAACTAAGAGCGTGAACTCATCTTTACCAGAAATAGAAAAAATTAGTAGTCCTAGCTACTCAGGAGGCTGACGCAGGAGGATTGCTTGAGCACAAGAGTTTGAAGTTGCTGAGAGCTGTGATACCATGGCACTCTATCCAGGATGACAAGTGAGACTCAAGAAAGAAGGAAAGAAAGACAGTTCTTAATTTGTAGGAAGGTCAAAATTCTCGGTGTTTTCCAATTCACTATTTTATTGGATGTTTGTAATCATGCTATAATAATGGGTATCATCCATATTTCACCTCCAAAGAGTTTCCGAGAGACCATACCTTAGAAAGAATGGGAGTGCCCCCGATCACAGCAAGGCATGGGGGCGGCCCTCTTGCTGGTGCTGGGAGTGCTGGGAGTGCTGTGAGGGCAGGTCAGCTAAAACAGCGCCATGACCTTGGCGGAGCCAGCAAACACAGGTGGCAGCTTGCAAGCCCAGAGTTTCACTGTATAATAAACATCTGAGCAGCCGATCAGAAGAGGATGGGCAATCTAAGAAAAAAATATTTTCTAACTGTAAATGTGGGTTTATGATCCAGGAGATGAAAGGTTTTTATCGACAGTCAAGTGCAGTAAAAGCATCACCCTCTGGCTGGCTCATCTCAGGCTCTGTCTCCCAGCTGCTGAATTGACTCTGCACTGGGACTTTGTGTTCATGATTCTTCCAGGGAAGGAAAGGCAACAAAGAGTGGTCTGTCTCTGTGGGTTTTGTTTGCTGTTTCTGGTAACAATTGGGACTTTCACAAAGAATAGGCAAAATGTCTGTTCATGCCCAAAGCCGCAGAATATTCCAAGATGATTGTGAGCCTAAATGTGTCTAGCTACTTATAGTTTGGAATTTTCAAATTATACTATAAATCTTCAGTATTACAGAGAAGGATGAAGGTGGTTAAAATATTCATCCAATAAAAAAATATATAGCCCTTGATGTTTGCTCTCCCTTGATGCATAAATGGAGGCCAACATCCATTTGCATGTGTTTAATGAAGTGACTCTGGACTTTGATCTCAGCCCATGTTGATGATGGTTATAAGTGTTTTAGCCCCTGTGGTTGGTTTTTATCAATTATAACTCACCACATGAGCAAAGTATGAAGTCATAAAATTAAAGGTAACAGTCATATCCTGGTGAGGTGTGGGGACGTTTCTAACAGTCAGTAAACAGCTGATTCCCGACCTCTTCTCTCCCAGGCTGCCTTCAATGTTTTAGCAGCTTGTCAGATGTGAGCGTCTCAGCCTGTCAGAAAGATGCTTCTGTCCTTGCCAGGAAATGGACAAGTGAGGGCAGGCAGATGTCGGGAGGGGGCCCAGTGCCCAGAAGTGCACGGATTTCTGACTCCTCAGCTAGAGATGATTGTTTTGCAAGTCTGGGGTTGAAAGACAATCACTGGAATGAAGGCCCAGCCTGAATCCAGGTGCACGTAATAGTCCTGCAGTCCCAGTTTCTGGTGATTAGGCCTCACCTGCCCAGTAGCTTTACAGATCAGCACAGCTGTCTTCCCATTGACTTCATCGTGTTATCTGAGGAGCCCAGATTGGGGGGACCTCGCCTCTATGGCCACACAGACTGGGGGGGGGGACGGCTGCCCTCCGTGCCCACCCGAGGGACTGGCTGAGCTTGCTGTGGAAGCTGGTGTTGGGGACACCTGGCTGTGAGGCCACACGTGCCCACAGTGAGCTGCAGCACACACAGTGAGCCCACTCTGAGGGAACCCTGGGGGTGAACGTCTACACGCAGCAGGACATGGCTGGCAACAGTGTCCGCACGCTTCTGGTTGATGCAGCTCAGCCAGGTCTTTCCAGGTGTCTCTACCTGTCTGCAAACACATGCAGAGAGGCTTGGGAAGACAAGTAGGTCGTCCCGGAGAGGCTGAGCAAGGTCAAGTGGAGGTACATGTGCCTGGAGGCCAAGGGAGCATTTCCGTGGAGCCACCATCAAGAGGCTCAATGAAGGATAATTGAGACAAGAACAGTGGGAGCTGCGACCAGCCTACTTGGGGCCCCTCTGTCACCCCCATTCCTGGCCACCTTTCATCTGCTTGTCTCCTCCAAGGCCAAGCAACTGGCATCTCCCAGGGCTCTCCAAGACGGGGTCACAGAGGCAGGGCCATCTGCTCTCTTCTTCCTCGTGGTCTGAGTCCTATTGTGCCCATTTTACGAGGGGTCAGTCCTTCTTGATGGCCAAGTCCTCTGTCCTTGAGGCTAGAACACATGTGGTCACTGGGGGGGGGGAAGTCCTGGACCCCCCATCTCCTTTGCTCAGGGTTGGAGGACAGTTCTACTTCATGAAAATGTCTGCACAGCCTTCTCATGAAATGGCCTGAAGTGACATGAATTACAAAATCTCATTCTCCTGAGCTTGAATTTTAGAAGTTAGTCTTATGTAAATATAAAAATATACATATTATTCTTAGTGAAGCATCACAGGAATGGAGAAGTAAGAATCCTATGTATTCAACTTTGATATGAAGACAATTAATGACATGGTGGGGCATGGGGGAAGGGGAGATCAGACACAGAAGGAGCAAGGGAGGCGTGGGCAAAAAAAAACAAATGACTAATTCTTACACAAACTGGATTTAATTTTGACCAACGTAATTACTTAAACATCAATTTTTAACTCAACATATCAATATATTGTTTATCATATTGCATCCTTATTCATCAGTGAAATATGTCTGTAATTTCCCCTTTATAATAATATATATTTTCTAATTTTACTATCAGGGGTATCCAAACTAGGTAGAATGATTTTGAAGTTATTTCTATTTCTACTGTCTACAAGACTTGGCGTGATCTGCTTTTTGTTTTTAGAAATTATTTTTTACTTTTATTTATACTTATTAGTCATCTTTTTTTTTAGACTTTGGTAAAAACATAATAAGGAAAAAACTTGTTTGCTATTTGTATTTTGTCTTATGTATTCTGTAACAAACAAGTAGTAAATGATTATGTATTCAAAAAAAATTGCACAGCTCTTGTTAAAGCTATATTGACAGGTACTTTCTATTTTGGTTGCTGATACAATGCTATCTTTCTTTTTCTAATATTATTTTGTAATTCTTTTTTACATAGGAATATAATTGATTTTGCATAGTTATTTTGAAGTTAGCTACATTGCTGAATTTTTCTATTGTTTTTTGTAACTTGCAAGTAGCTTGGTATCTTGGAAGTAATGAAATTTGAATTTTTTTTACAAACCATTGGGATTTTTAAGTTATCATAATTGTACCAGCTAGGATCTTCAACTTTACTAGGAGTGGTGGTAATGAGTACACTTATCTCATAATTGATTTGTAGATAATGCTTTTGTTCCTCATAAAATTGATATATTTGTCTCAATGTTATCTTCAATGATTATGTCAATATTTTGCCTATAGTTGATGCTCTGTAAATATTCATGGAATAAAGGAGCCTGAAATTTAAAAAAAAAAATATATATATATACACATCTCTATATAAATATATGTATCTCTGTTGTTACCAAAGAGGATTTATAAATTATCATTAAAGGCATTCTTTGGAGAGACAGAAAGGAAGTGAAACGGTATTTTGCCTTAGGGAGAAGACACTCGCTCCACAGTCTGCTCTGGACGAGGCCGCCCTTCTGAGGTCTCGGAGCCGGGCAGAGGAAATCGTGAGCTCAAGTCAAACTGAGGCTGGAGAGGGTTATGTAGACAGCTCCCTCTGAAATGCCCCCCCCCACCTCGCAGTCAAGGCCCATATATCACCTTGACTGAGACACCAGAAATTCCCACGAATGTGTGTGCTTTCAACAAACGTGGGAGAAACGGAATCACAACGCAAGTTCTAACCTGGTTTTTCTTTCCATCTCCCGCAGGGACGGATCTGTAGAAAAGCCGGCAAATCAAAAAAGTCCTTCAGTCGCAAGGAAGCCGAAGCTACCTTTAAGAGTTTGGTGAAGACACACGAAAAGTACGGCTGGGTCACCCCCCCAGTGTCTGATGGCTGATGTCTGCCGCGCATTGGATGCTCGAGCCGCCTGTCCACACACACCGACGCCCTGCCATCTCCCTCAATGCATCCTCCATCCTTTTGTACTCCAGCCAGAACTGCATCCTGAAAGCCAAGGAGACCTTTAAGTTATTTATGAACAGATGTGTTTACAGAGAGAAAGAGGGAGCAAACTCTGAACGACCACCTCCAAGTCACTCTAGAACAAACGTTGAGAGGGTGACATTTCCCTGCCTGCCCTGGTCACGTTGCCCTTAGCTTCCTTCCACGCCAGCAGCTCTGGCCAGCTGGCCGGAGCCCCGTGCCCTGCTCACTCCCTCTCCGTGTAAATGCGCCTTTTCTCGTGTTTACTAGGAGACCGCACCGCGGTGGCGCCACCTTGTGTTTGCTGTGCGCTCTCTCTCTCTGTTTCTCTTCCTGGCAGGTCCACGTAACTTGAAGACGTGTCTTTCTGTGGCCCATGGTCTGCTGTGATAACATTTAGACCTCATTTGTGCTATGACCTTTGGCTCATGAAAACACAAATTTAACATTGCCAGATTCTGTGATATAAAACGACACCTGCCCGCGTGGTTAACCTGTGCTCTCGATGCTGATTTTGTGACGCGCTGCTGTCCTCAGATAAGATAGTGCCCTGAGATGAAGGACAGAGGATGCCACAGCACCGGGGTGGGCAGTGGCACGGACACTGGGTGCAGCCCTGGGGCTCAGAGCCATCAACAGTCCCCTCCGAGCTGGGGACATGCTCCTACGACAGTGCGTTTGTGTTCCTGTCTCCTCTCAGCCACCAAAAGCAAAAGACAATTTCCCATTCACTGCGGTCATCTGACTCATTTTATCATACGTGCTAGTGACAGGGAATGCCAGAACTGCCAAAGGATACCAAGTGATCGTCCGATGATTTGCATGACGGGGTCCGTTTCCTCACCCAGTAGTCACTTGTGTGTCCCCGAGGTTGGGATGCGTGAGCGCCCTTGCTGTGATGTAAACTTCCTGTTATTTAATCTCCTCACAGTTTCATTTGCTCTTCTATTAAGTTACTTAGAACTTTCTAAGAAGCTCCATGAGATGAGGAAGTACTGTTTATAATAATACACAGAAAGAGGTGAAATGTTCATTCCAAGTGGAAAATCTTACTGGACACATTTTAAATAAAATCATGCATACCTGATCCCCCGCCTCAAGCATCCAGTCATTGTGGGCTCTGCTTCCTTTTTTAAGTATTTAACCTATTTTTAAAAATTGTAGTATTTCAAATACTACAAACACCCCAACACAAATTCAGAAGCAGCATTCTATAGCCAGGTACCCAGAAAATGAGCCTGGCGAACCCACAGTCTTGTCAAAAACCCAGTAAATGAGTTGACATTTTTTAAAAATGATCCCCAGAAGCAGTCAAGGGGACAGGCAGACGCTAAAGGGATGGTTGGGTTAGACGTGAACGCTGCCAACTGTATGTCCCTACGAGGGAGGAAAACAGGTCTTCTCGGCCAATTGTGTGCAAGTCTTCGGGCACTGTTGACTACTTGAGGACCTGTTCATTTGGTCAAGGCTTTTAGAGGCCCGAGATGCGAAGGGCAGCTGTTGGCACCTCTCAGCCTGGCTGATCACTAACCAAATGAGTCACTGCTTTTGTTTCTTCTGCTATTGTGTGTGCCCCAAATACACACGTGCAGCTCTGCCGGCCCAGGTTCCAGGGTAGTGAGAAAACATAACCTGCTTGACTTCTGCTGAATAATAAAGGTCATGTAGCTCTGGAACAACGAACTCACAGCTTTCATTCACTACATCCGCCAAGGTGGGCTTCTCCATCCTAGAAGCCTGAAGTTTAGTGGACGGTCTTTGGGCCCTGGGGCTACTAATCGCAATGGAATTATACTGTGGGTATTCAAGACCAAGGATGGAAATCTCTACCTAGAGAAAAATACCTGAATTTATTGCTTCCCAGATATTTTACTCCTCAAATATAAAATTAAAAGCAAAGTTCTTAGGGAAAAAAATATGTATATTCAAAGCAGGATCACCTGAGTGCTGTTTAGCAGCTGACTGAAAAACGTGTCCATATCCTCTCCAGGTACGCTTGGACACAGGGGCCCCCTGGAGGTGGGCTGTGGCCTGGGGTGGCTGGTCCCATGCTGACGCGGGCAGCCAACTCCATCTCAGCCTTTCTGTGTTCCTGGAATTTGAGCGCTTTTGCATGTCTTTCCATTAGGTTTATTAAAAACTTACAGAAGAGGGTAGCACCTGTGGCTCAAAGGAGTAAGGCACCAGGCCCATATGCTGGAGGTGGCGGGTTCAAACTCAGCCCTGGCCAAAAACTGCAAAAAAAAAGGGACATCTAAGTAAGTGAAAGTAACGAATGGACAAGGAGTCACTTGTAATGGGAACGAGCATGCAAAATGTTCCATAAATAAAAATGTTAAAAGAAAAAAAACTTACAGAAGAAATCAATTCTTTAGTGAAGGAAATTTTTTCACTTAAATTGGTAAACATTTCTAATTTTAAAAGCAGTGGGAAGCGATTTAAAACTCGACTATTCCTTTGATTTGCTGAAGTGAGAACTCCCTTCCTGGTGGCCTGTGCTGTCATAGGCAAGCGTGGCGGTGCCCGGCCATGGGGCCGTCCCAGGGACTGCCGATGTGGGTCCTGTCTGCCCATACCTCGGCACAATCCTCATTCTGCCCTTCTAAGGAGACACCTGAGCCTGCAGCCCAGGGTGAGAAGAAGGCTGCCGCCTGAGGCCATGTTCCTACACACGCTGAGAATCTGTCCCTCTGCAGACAGGCAGCAGGGGGCTAACTGCATGAGGGTGCTGAGGTTCAGGACGCCCCCTCCCACCCCCACCCCCTCTCCACAGTCCTGTATATCGACAGGAACTGGAATCAAGCCAGGGGCCACCGAGCCAGAGAGACAGAAAAACACAAACTCCTTTGTTTGCCTCTCAAAGCAAAACTCTTTCCTTTGCAGTAGATTTCCAGGACTGACCACCCTTGCCCCTGGGTGTCCTGTCTTCTGGTCACCAAGGCCTGTGGGTGAGAGTACACTGTTGATTAGCTATATCCCCAAACTTTCTAGAAAATTGAGAATTACCTATACTTGAGAAATTCTGTGCGAACAGCAAGATTATTACTCTCATTTACACACACACACACACACACGGGCACACATGTGCCCAAAGACAGGTACACATATGCCCACAAGCAGAATCACAGGAAGACTCACCATCTCTAAAATACCTAAATCCATGACTCAGAAAAACTGTCGTTTAGATTTAAAATTTTCAGCTCCCATGTTCCCTCCACTTATCAAGATTTTGATTTTATATATATTTTTTGATTTTATATTTTTGAGAGGAAGATTTGTGGACTGGTGGGGAACCCTAGGACTAAGAGACAAAAGCCCGTGTCTCTGTGACCCACGGGTCACTGCACCAGCATAAGCCTGTTGCCTCTGCTGTAAACTCACCAGATGGATGCGAAATTGACCAGAATAATGCAGCAAAGGTGCTTTGGAGAGGAAAGATTGTCCTAAGAACTGTAAATATCATTTCCATCATATCAGGCAATGTATTTTACGAAAGGCTTCAATTAGAATACACCTGGATAGCACCTCAGAATGACAAGTGCAGTGGTCAAAGGCAACGAGGAACCCCAGCAGGCATGTCCCTGCCCTCTGACCTCAGTTCTCTCTGGGAAGTCAGTCCCCTCTACATTCTGACCACCTGTCTTCCTCCTCACTCAGCCTGTTCCTCTGAGACCCAGGGAGTGTTAAAGCTCAACACACCTCTCCTTCCCTGGATGGGAACTGCCACGGTCACAAGCACACACAGGAACCAGCCACAAGCAAGACAAGTGCCCAATTGCACTGCAGACATTATAGACAGCACACAAGTCCTGAGACTTCTGACCCAAGTCCAGACTTCCTGGAACAGGAAGGTTCCAGGGAGTGAGCCAGGTTTGAGCAAAGGGAATAGGAGGGCAGGCATAGAAATGGGGGAGGCTGAGGGTACCCCATACAGGGCGTGGTCTGTGTCCTCGCTGGTGACACCTTGCCACTTCTCATAGCAGGAACTCCGTTCAGGAGACACAGTCCAACCTCACAGCCTGGCATGGCGTGTGAAGCTCACCCTGTGCACAGGAATGCGCTATCTCGGGGTTTTATCTGAACCCTTCTAACAGGATGCAAATGTTTAATGGAATTTCTTTCTAAAGGGGAAGAACCTACTTCCTGACTGAGGGAAGGCAGAGCCATCGCATCTGGGAGGCCAAGTAGCCTAATTTTATACTCTCTGCAGGGAGGGTAGCAAGCCTGGAGAGGTCGGGTGGCCTGTGCAAAATCACCTGGAGGGTCACAACCAAGGCTGCTGTCCTGCTGGCTTTCAGATACTTCCTGACACTCCTCCTGAGACCACTGGGCAGTCCCCATGGTGCAGGTCTGGGCACACTCTCCACGCTTCACTGAGTCTGCAGAGCTGCGTCTCTTCCCGGCCGGCTGGGGACACCCTGGAAGTGATCCCCACCACGACTGAAGCACGTCAGTGCAGAGGGAAGATATTTTTTTCCAACTGCTTCAGGAAGCCACATTTAAGAGGCTTGGAACTCAGCCTGGGTGATCCCAGAATAATTTGTTTCTAAGACACGGAAATTGTACGCAGCTCTGTGCTTAGTTTTCTGCTATGTTCTCCCTTATCTTTCTGATCTGTGCAGCCTGCGGTTCTCAGAGTGCTGAGAATCACTCAACCCCGGGCCTGTCTGACCTGCACAAGGTGCCCAGCGAGCTGGAAAGGCCAAACACGCACTGTTGACGTCCGGGAGGCAGTAAGTGATGTCACATTGGTTCCAGTAGAAACACGGGCAGAGTGTGCTGGCCAAACAGAAATAATCAAAGCAGAGGAAAACAAGGTTTCATTTCAGGGTTCTGACAGGGCTAGACAAATAGAGTGGACTGAGGGGGCAGGTGTCCTGGGTCAGAAGGCAACAGGCAGTGAGGAGAGGGGCCGACACAGAGGACCACTGCCCACTGCTCTGTTTCTCTTGCAGAG